AATGTTAAAAAACAATACTCTTTGGTCAAAGCCAAAGAGAGCTACAGGGATGGGTCTAAACAGCCGCAGGTTTCCTACCCCCTCCCTAGAATAGAAGACATTGCTTTAAAGTTAAACTTATTTTGACATTTTCCTACCAACCACACTGATTCAGGACATCTCAATAGAGTACAGGGTGTGTGATGTAACATATCAGCAAGCACAAGCAGATAATTGGTTATAACCCTTTTTTAAAGATGTGATCGGATTGTCTTGCAGGTTGTTGAGACGGGCGCATTAACTTCTTATCTGTATACAAATATTTTGAGCTGTGGCTGAGTGAGTGGACTAATTGATGTGTTCATGAAGCTGTTAGACAGTGTCATGGAGTTTGGCTGGCTCATCCCTGTGAATCCGAGCTGCAGTATGGGGTGCTAAACAGTGGGCCAACTGCTGTGCTACTCTGTGTTGTGTGTACTGATAGCCCTATCTCAGAACACATAACTTGTTAAAAGGCAAGGCAACCACTTATCACCCAGTCGCCCACCGAACGCTGCAGCAGCAACCCGCTAGCTCCGGTCCTGGTGGGTTTGAAGAGATCAAGCTCTACCGCAGCAAGAAATCCTGAGACCTTGGTGGGAGCTGGGCAAAGGGCCAGGGCTACTAATTGCCTAAGAGATTATCCAAGAGCGCTCAAGGAGTGTCTCTCTTAATTAATGATGGGATGATTGCAGTGCTCTAAACCCACTAGAGGGGGAGATGTTTAAATTGGCAAACGAGATGAGAAAACAGTAGTGCAGCAGCACCAGAACCGTACGTTGCATTAGAGTTTCCTCAGTGCTTGAAATGCTGTTACACCAGTGCCACTCTCGAACATTAAAGCACAGCTCAGAAGTCCTTGACCTTCTCACTATCATCAATGAATCGCTCACGTTTAAGTGTCCAAGTCATTCTCTCCCAGGAGCGGGACCCCCCAGCTTGCAGCTTTCTCGTGCTTCATCACACACAAGATTGATCACCCCTCACCTTCTACCATTTTCTACTCGTTAATTGAGTCCAGGAATCCCATCTCTTCTGAGATAGCCGCCGAAGAATTCTCCTCCGTACGAGAGTCAATGGCTCCTTGGAGCTTTGAGAGTGTGTGCCAGCCTTGGCTTAACAGCAACAGCTTTGTTTGCTTCCAGTGAGAATACAGCTGTAAGAGCCTCCTATGGGGGGTTGTTAAGTTGAAGCATTCCTCACAAGGTCATTGCCATCCCCATCTAGGTAATATAAATCACAGGCTACAAGATGGATGGGCATTAGTTATGTGGACGTGATATGTGGCTGTGTGACACCTGCTCAATTTACTCGGTTCCTGTTGTTGCGTGTCACATGTACTGGAGAGTACTGGTGGGGCCCGGTGTGTCAGTTTGAAAGTGCGTGTAATCAACATTTCCTGACAGATATCTGCAGAGGTAAATGGCTCATCCCATAGGAATGAGTTTTGTGGGGGGTCTTTGGAAAGACGGGTGTTGATACTGGATTCTAGTGGGTGACATAGAAATTTAAGAGATGAGTCTTCATCAGGGAGTCAGTGGCGTCTTTTAAAGGGGGCTTTATCATCCCATCAATACCAAGTGTAAACCTATCGTGATGTCACCAATTAGTTTGTGGAGTAGCCTCAAGTTTGGCGTTATGGTCGTCGCCATGACAGTTTGTCAGAGCCAGAGGAGGTGACGTACTGCGAGTTGAGCTGCTCTCATTGGCTGCAAGGTTTCGTCTCGTCCATATAAGGAAACAACAGCAGCTCGTCTGATCACACACAATCTCGTATTGCAGATACACAGTATGTGTTACTGATTTCAGTATACTTTGTGATAGTCATTGAATAATGTGTTTGAATGTGACTTACACCCCTCTTTTACATCACTCCAGTGACCTGTGAGGCCGTAGTGAATTTACTACGTAAATAAAGCACTAGACTTGTTTCCTTGGTCCTTCAAAGCTGTCAAGGTGATCAAAGCTAATGTGCCCTTATTTCATGGCTGCATAGTGCTTCAGCATTGAGATTCATCGCTATAGGTGCACGGAGTGCGATAAAATTGTCACGGGCAGGCGTGATTTGCCCACCTCGTGTAGCATGATGCAGCTGAGAGTCGGTGACAAATGAGCACATTATGAAAAGCTTCATTCTGGTGGCTTTGTTCCTGGTGTTCATCTCCTCTCTACCATCTGATTGACTTTCAATTTCTTTGAAAAATAAGGGGTTAGTTCCTGCGTCTTAAGTAAGATAAATGAGTTCTCTGCCTCAAATTAGCATAAACCTTTTGTGAATTGGGGGCAGACAAAAAGGAGGTGTTATGCTTTAGATTTTGCAATTTGGAATATTATTTAGTTATTAACCCTCATTTTCATTTAACTGGGAGCATACCAGTAAAACCAGCCATACTGTCCTTTCTCACAGGCTTTCTTGCATCATCTTAATCTTGGCCGGACTTGTGTAAAAGGTGTTTTAAGTAGTGTATTAGTGCCCAAACACCCTGAGGCACTCTTAATTAAAAGCCCCATGCTTGTTTCCTTCCTGCACGTGTTGATGTCAGCAAGGAGAAAAGCTCCCACTCTCCTGTCCTGCATCTCTTCCTCCCTCGTGTTCAGTGGGCAGACAGGTGGCTGCTCGCTGGTTCACACGTACAGCACACATAACAGACAGGAAGGTGGGAAGAAGATGAGAGTTTGAAGGAGAAAGAAGACAGAAGGAGCAAAGGGAGGAGACAGATGGGTTGTAGTGATGGCTCTGTCACATATTAAAGATGTTTTTTGGGAGACAGTAAAACAGAAAGGTTTGTTTCTCTGACAGGGCAGACAGTTGGAGACAGATATAATGAAATAATGATATCTTGTGGGACTTTTCTCTTTTATAGAGCTATCAACAAGAAATTAACAGCATTTTTTATAATGTATTAGTCATTTTCATGAAAGTAATGCAACATTTTCTCTGGTTTCAGCCTCTCAAATTTGCTGTTTTTCTTTGTCATATATGATAGTAAGTTTAATATTTTTAGATTTTGCTCTGTTTTCCCCCCAAAAAACAAGCAAACAACATAATTTAAACAGATTTTTGACATTTTATGGCCACTTAAATGCATCAATTAATCTGGGAAGTAAATGGCTGAATAACAGATAATGGAAATAATAGTTATTTGCAGCCCTACATGCATGTCACCGTGTCCTTGAAGGTTGGTCTGATGCCCAGCCATCTGACCTCTGCAAAGGAGGGTTGAGGTGGAGTGGGAAGGATTGCAGCTCGCAGAGCTTTCCCCGGAGTCAGAGATTACATTGGATGAAAGCCAAAGATGCATTCAATATTGGACACTTGTGCAACAGGTTTACATACTCTCACCACTGATGTGTGTGTGTGTGTGTGTGTGTGTGTGTGTGTGTGTGTGTGTGTGTGTGTGTGTGTGTGTGTGTGTGCGTGCTTACATCTCCTCTGATAAAAGTGTAGGAAAGTGTGAAACAAGGGTGAGAAATGTAGCTGTGTGCTTAAAATCAGTCGCTCATGCTTCCTTTTTTAGTGCCCCCAAGATCTCCTCTCCTAGATTTATGTCCCGTAGACAACCTATGATGGAAGTAGGCAACTTACATACTGTATATTTCCTTTCATTCTACATCCCATCTTTCTTTTTCATTTTGGACAAGTCAGCATTTTCAGTTTGTTTTCTCCGACGACACTGAAACACCACAATAACGGTAAAACAACAAAAAATCTTCGTTTTTGTCCTCTTTGACTAATTGAAACATGCTAATATTTGTGGAAACCTGTAGCCACACCAGTAAAGGGCTCTTACAGTTACCATACTATGGTTTACTGTGAATTTGCAGTGGTTTGCAGCTATGACGTGCTGGTTGTTTTAGCTATTTTGTTGGGTTTAGTCCTCGTTTTCCTTGTTGTATTTCTTATTCATGCCTATTCTTATTCAACTTGATGCTGCTTCTTTGTTTTGGACTCAATATCTTTCAATCTAGATACTGTATCTATGTACTTCTCCTAATAATATTATAAAATAAAAGTAGTAGCACTATTCTCATTGTTAATTTTTCCAGACACTCACCTCTGTCCTGAACGCCTTTGTTGCTGATGGTTTTTCCTTCCCTTCGTACGGTGCGTCCCTGATAATCTGAATTAATTTTATCCTCCTGACATACATTAAAGTGCCACTGCAGGAGCACACAGTGGCTGATTAATAGAGCTTGTTTGAAACTTCACACCTCCCCTGCACCCTGTTCAAGCACTACAACCTGTGCTGGAAACAGAAACTATTCTGCTGTACTTAACCTCTTAGGTATTTCCATTAGAGGCAGCAGGGGAGCCAGTCTCACAGAGTGAATGGAAGCATACGACATAAAATCACTTTCTGCATATGTGTGGCAAATTGTGACCCTCCTGGTACTTCCTAGATGTCACCCTGGGTTTAAAGGACAGCTTGATGATGAAAGTTGAGGAGCTGGCTGCTGGCCATCGCGGGGCTATGACTAACTCCTGGTGTCACGGGCTGATTGAGTGTGTGTGGAGGTGAGACGGCTTACTGGGCCCACATGACTGTCAGCCCATAACAGGACTTCATGCCACGCTCAGAGGTCTCCTTTAGACGCGCACAGAGAGGCACCTCCAGAAATCGATTGGAGATGCGATGTGAACAGCAGGAGGTGGAGACTCTATCTTCACCTGACTCCACTGACTTTATGTCGGGCCATGAAATCTTGCCTAGTTGTTGTTTTTTTCCACACCTGATGTTTCTGGGACAAACAGCTGGAAGGCAGTTGAACACTAAGAGAATGAACTTTATACATGTGGTGTATAACCTTCCATTTTAAAGCAGTAGAAGTTAGTATAAATACGGTGTGGCAGATTTACACAGAGGCACACCTTATATGTACTAAATTTGTCTTTTTATGTTGTAAGTTTATGTCCTGTTGTCATCTTAGTGGATAATTTACTGTCACAGTTTGTTCCTAATTCCTCTGTTGTCTTTTCACAGCGTTCACCATGATGATCATCTTGGCTCTTATCCGCATCGGTAAAGGCACTGGCGAGGGCCGCCCACCGGTCGCCTCCTTCTCTGGAGTGCCCAACCTGTTCGGGGTGTGCGTCTACTCCTTCATGTGTCAACACTCCCTGCCCTCCCTGGTGACGCCCATCTCTGACAAGAAGCGTGTCGGCACCCTGGTGTTGGCAGACTACGTCCTGATCCTGGGCTTCTACCTCCTTCTCTCATTCACCGCCATCTTCTGCTTCGACAGCTCGCTGCTGCACGACATGTACACCCTGAACTTCACAGACAACTGCAACGTGTTAGATATTCCGTTCCTGCGCTACTTCCTCGGCCTGTTCCCAGTTTTCACCATCAGCACCAACTTCCCCATCATCGCTGTCACACTGCGCAACAACTGGAAGACCCTGTTCCACCGGGACGGAGGCACCTACCCATGGGTGGTGGACCGTGTCGTGTTTCCCCTCATTACCCTGGTGCCCCCGATCGTGGTGGCCTTCTGCACCCACAACTTGGAGTCCTTGGTGGGCATTACAGGATCCTATGCTGGCACAGGGATCCAGTACATTATCCCAGCCTGTCTTGTGTTTTACTCTAGACGCCATCTGGAGCCCGTGATGGGCAGGGATGCCATCAACAAGCACCAGTCTCCCTTCCGCCACGCCTTCTGGGTGTGGTTTGTTTGGTTGTGGGCCGCCTCCTGCCTCATATTTGTCACAGCCAACATCATCCTGACGGACACCAAGAAATGAGAACTCACTGCTGTAAGAACTTTCTTTAAAAAAAAAAAATAATAATCTGTTTGGCCAGTCTCTTTGTTCCTGTACACGAGGCCTTACTTGCTGCTGGTTGGACAGTGTGCCTTTTTATGGGACATTTGTTGCATCTATTAAATGTAACTAAGAGTAATTTATCAAATTTGTTAAAAGGGACCAAATGTCATATGTTTTTGTTCCATCAAAAAGCTGGAACAGTGCATGACAACAATGAAAGGGAACTGAAAAGGGTCATTTATTAAACGGATGTTTTGTCAACAAACATAGTGTGAGGTTTTCACAAGGATTTGTTTGTCTAAAAAATTGCGATGAGACATAGATTTTTTAGTGTAATTCAGAAAATAATAGAAGGCAACTTTTTGTCACTAGCAGTTTGGTGACGGATGACTCAACTTTTGGTGCAGGGGACTGCTTTGATTGATGTGATTGGACAAAATTGCAAGGTCGCGCAGAATTCACTGGAATTTGTTGAATTGGCCCTAAAATTGTGTAACTCGACCCCCAATTCCAGCGTTGGAACGGGGGTGGGGTTGTCAGATGCTGTTCGATGATCCGACAGTTTGTTTGAAGCAGACTAACTTAAGAGTTCTGCAGGTCGTCCATCCTGTAGTTCTTTGTTTTAGTGTGTCTCAATCAAATCCCAAACTATGGAAAAGGTAGGGTGTTCAGATGCTGAGAGATCCATGGGACCTTCAGGGCAGAATATTCCAATAAAAATACATTAAAGCACGTTTGAAGGAGCAGAGTAGCAACAAGAAGAAGAGCCTGTCACATCCAGACTTGCTCTGTTGCTAAACTGCTTGGCTTAATAATTAAATTGGAACAGAAACCAACAGGAACGAATCAGGGACGATCAGTCTTTCATGGCTGACGTGTATCCATTCCCCTCATGAACAATGAAGCTCCCTCCGTGACAGAGCCACTGACAGATAGGCCTCCAGGAAGAGCTCCGTCTCTGTTTATCACCAGGCACTCGCGCCTGTAGTTCAGACACAGGGCATGTCTCCCCGTCTTTTTACTGCTCAGCACCCATTCATGACTCTGTCAGCCTCATACTGTATCTATCACACAGCCCAACACCTGACAGCATAATGGTGATCTACAGGGCTTCAGCTCTGGATATGGAGAAGGCATCAGTGGCCAAAAGTGAAGAGTAGAGAGCCAAAGCTGTGACTACAGAGTTCATACACTATCTGCACACTGTACTGTAGTAATGCTGATTTCACTGACACTTGGCAGCTTCTTCTGTGAGTTGTGCCTCCGTTGATGGACTCCGTTGTTGCCCTGACTCCTTAATCTTTTAACTGTGTCATTTTTAAAGGGTTGGGTCCTTAATGGTGAGTGGAACTTTTTTTGTGACGTGTATAACCTTGACGAATTGTGTGTCTAAAATTCAGTAGCAACAACTCTTACAATAACCCAGAAACTATTCATTTTGTGGTATGTGGATTAGGCTATGGGACAAATTTAATGTCATGACTATATTCTGTTAAGAAACACATTTATTGTATCACATATAGACGACTCATCACCTGGACATTGGACAGTCTTTCTTACAGTTCTTTACTTTGTTATCTACACTATTTCCATACATCTGGTTTATCTTTTTTCTTTTAGCTATGGTGACGGCGTTAGAATAACAGGAAAGATGCAGGTTCCCCCTTCAAAATAAAACAGGAAATCAATAAAGGACTGTATGTGGCGAGCTAGACAGCTTTTTTAAGTCATTTGAGGATAATCATGATTATCACCATAATGGAAATTGACCATGATAATAAATATAATTTTATCACAATAACCCCGTACATCATCTCATTGCTAATGCTAACTAGACCACGAGAATTTGGTTTTGTTTATTTTTTGTGGATGAAATGAGGCTTTCGTGTTGTAGGTTGTTGAAGGACTTCAGCGGTGTAGACCGGAGACCAGAGCTGATCGATTCCATACCATGGCCACAGAAAATACTCATTTCTGACTGGCAGATAACTTAGTTTCATCAAATGTTGTGTCCACTATAACTTCCTGTCTGCTGCGGTAACCGTGCACCTTCACAACTGTACCTGCAAGGTAGACTGTAGAGGGTTTATTATGCAGGGAAAGGTGGATGAGTGACTGGCAGGTCAAGTTAAGTTAATGTACATTAAACAGCAGGTAACCATAGAAACAGTACTTCTGCTTTATGTTGTGTTACCAGTTAACTCAGACTGAGGTAAACTCACTAAAAACACACTTTAAAGTGTGTATGGGTTTTAAATTGCACTATAACACAGGCTGTCTGGATACAGAAAATAATTGACTCTGCAAAGCTTTTTGACCTCCACTTTGTGTCCACACACAATAGCGGTGTCATGATATGTTCACACGTTACGTATTCAAGTGCCACTACAGCTGTGGTCAATTAAAATGCAAGCCCAGTATCAGGGTGTACTGTAGTTCAGTGGGTTGTGGAGCGGTTAGAGACGCTGTGCAGCTCTTTCATCAACTGCTGTAATGCAGTTTAAATTGAAAGGTAATGTGCTGTGACTCGAGTGTTTTTAAGGAACTGCAACTGTGAGATTTCTTCTTGTGCGTCGTCGTAGCGTTGTTGTACCGTTGAAGGTGGAAGAGGGTGCCTCTGATTTGTAGCCTGGTCGGCTTTATTGTCGTTCTCGGGCTTCAATAAACTGCAGCGAGAATTTGCATCTGAGTGTTTAACTGGACCAAATATGGACTAGATGGGTTCTCACAGGACACAGTATCATATCAGTCCTGCACTCTGTCTTTCTGTCTAGTTTTTGTCTAATTCGAGTGGAAAGGGAATCAGTCCTTGCATGCACAAACACATAAAAACATAATTACTATATGTCATTTAAAGCTGCAGTAGGTCATTTTCATTCAAATAAATGTATCCTGTTTGCTGAAATTTTCTCTTTATCCTGACAGTAGAACATGAGACTGATAATCTGTGAAATAATCAGGTTCCTGTGGCTCCTCCTTGTGCTCCTATTGGCATCTGCAAGAATCCACCAGGGCCCGAATGAAAACAACCAATCAGAGACGAGAAAGATAGTTGAGTCTCATTCCCAGGGCTGGAAATACAGACGTTTGGGAATGAGACTCGTCAATCAACTATCTTCAGTCCTCCAAACCAAAGCATCTTTTGATCTTTCTCGCCTCTGATTGGCTCTTGTAACAGGAACAGGAACCAAGCAAATATGACAAAACGTTACCTACTGCAGCTTTAAATGTTTACTTTCCCGCTTTTGTGCCGGTTGGTTTTCGTCCAGCTACAGGTCGTCTTCTTCGTCACCTGAAGTGTAACATTTGAATGAAGAACAAACACTTTAACCTTGGATAGATATTTATAATTCAATCTGGAGACGATGTAACTGTGTGTGTGTGTGTGTGTGTGTGTGTGTGTGTGTGTGTGTGTGTGTGTGTGTGTGTGTGTGTGTGGTGTGTGTGTGTGTGTGTGTGTGTGAGAATGATTAGATATTAAATATGTTAATGTGGTTCTGACTCTTGTTTGGAGTTATGAAATGTGCCTTTTTTTATGGGGTCATTTTCTTACCCGAACTTATCGACTCTGCTGTTTTTCCTCGTCCTTTGAAAAGCAGCTAGCCTGACAACATCTGCATGTAAGCCATTTCATTTAACTGACAATCAGCATGTCCCCCAGAAATGCTTTATAATCCTTTTTTCTTGTCTTTTCATTTCTGTTCTTGTTTTCAGTTTCTCCTAAGTTGACTGTATTTCTTTCCTCCGTGTTTCTGGTATTTGTTTACAATGATTTGGCCACCCTCTGATTCAATCATTTATACAGATGTTTACTGCTTTAATTGATGTTCTGTTGGATTTTTATGATTCATAAAGAAAATAAAAGCTTTGTGTTCATCATGAACTTCATGAACCTCGATTACTTAAAGGGAGATTGGGGTTTCTTACAACCTGGGTCTTCTTTTCTAGTTTGTGCCCTCGTGCCTGTCATTTATTACAATTACTGAAAAGACGTTTAAAATCAACTAAACAAGTCCAGCTGCTATCAGAAGTACTTCTGTGGAAGTGAAAGCTAAAAATATATCTCAGCTTTAGTTATTTATAAACTTAATATTTCCTTTATAATATCTAATTACATTACATAATCATACTATAAAGCCAAATGTATCTGGATGCCCCTGCTCATGTACTGTAGTGTACTACAGGGTGTGGGTCTATTTTTCCTGCTTTGGATTAGGGCCCCTTAAATCCAATGAAGGGAACACAACAATATTTTAGACAATAGTGTTTTCTAATATGTAGCAGCAGTTTGGGGAAGGCTCCTTTCCTGTTTTAACATGCACAAATCCAAGTCCCCAAAGTTTGGTAGTTTATTGTCTGTTCAGGACCTCGACAGGAATAAATGTGGTATGTTTATTTACGGACTAGATTGCAAACTTTAACAGATTTTATTTTTATATATGATATGATTTACAGATCTCAATGCAGATCCATAAACTTGTATAACTTGTATATATCTTTTTTGTTCAGTGCAACCTCATCCAACAGTTATTGGATGAACTTGAACGCCGACTGTGATCCAGACCTGAGAGTGGAGGGTGTTATAGAAGTAGGGTTTTTTTCATGGTGGCTGTAATGTCCAAATGTGCAGATGTCCACATACTTTTGGCCATATAGAGTACTTTATGGTTCAACCTGCAGGAATGAAAACTCATCGTATTTTTGCGTATATAGTGGTCCAGTTAATGTGTCACTTTTTAGACTACGAGCATTATAATGCAGTGAATAATAAGAGCTTACATAACTGGATTTTAGTAGACATCATTATGTAAAGTGGAGCCACATAATAAAAATGTGCTGAGAACTAATCCATGTGTGGCGCTTGTAAAAAATATATCGGATCCCGATTATTAGTTTTGTGATATCGTATTAATTCTCAAAAACACTATTTTATGCTTAAACTGTGATAAATCCAAAAACAGATCCCACTGCTCTGTTGTATTTTATTCATTCTGTGTTTCCTAAAATTAGTTTTTTTTTAAAATCGGAATATATCACAATATATTGAATTGTAAAGCCTGTATTGTAATACGTATCGTATCGCCAGATTCTTGCCAATACACAGCCCTGGTGAAAGGCAGTGTAGTTTTGCAATGCAACTGAGCATTATTATATAAATGCAGTATTGTTTAATAAGTTATAAGTTTCATTGATTTTACTTCCAAAATAGAAAGAATATGGTTATTATTGTTAAGAGCTTTTTTAGCACTTGATTTATTTGTTTCTTTTCATGCAAGTAAGGTATAGTAGTATATGAAATGTTAAAAAACCTTCAGACCATCAGAAGCTGGTGATTGGTTGCCCTTCCTGTGGTTTCATTATCCGCATTTTATTAAACATTTGACTAGTTTTTGAAATATCCTGCAAACTTAGAGACAAACAAACGGACAACAAGGTCTGAAAGCATTCACCTGTTTGGCTGAGCAACTGTAATCCATATGCGAAACCCAGTAAAGCTGCTGAATAACAGTTCCATAACCAGCAGGATGGACGGCAATAACTACAGAAATATGACCCAGGTCGCAAAAAAAACCTCATCTTTCTTTAAGATTCAATAAATCGAATGAAATGTGTCAAAGAGTCCTTGTTGAGCGGCGTTCTGTAATCACAGCAGAACAACAAGAGTGTTTGAATGGTTTCACCTCTTAAATGACAAATCACAATCTGGCCTGTTTCCAAACTGCTTGTTTTTGAGAAACAAATCCAGTTCTTTTCCAGGTGCCAATAAAACTAAGACTCTCTCCAGGGAATTGAATGCATGAATCAGTGCGGCTTTTGCTGTTACTTTAGTCATATCACATTCTTGTATTCAGTCGTACTCCTACACAATTTCACAGACTCATGGTTGGCAGTATTTGTATCTGCTCTCCAGGTAATTGGCATCTTTTTTTTTTCTACACCTCCATTCACCTCAATCTTCCCTGAAGCACCTCAGTAGTTTTTTATTGACAGACGAGATTCCTGTTTTTATTATCAAACCAAACCTCCCCCTCTGAATTTCAATCTCAGCACGGCCGCTCCGCTGTAATTTAATTTACCCTCTGCCCTTTTATGTATGTGGGGTGTGTCTGCATGTTTGGGGGCAGAGCTATAATTGGAAATGCAAACTTGGCACGGTTTAATTAATTCACAGTGTGTTTAATTGCTGCATGGTTTATGCAGGCTGGGAGAGAGAGCAGGTACTGGCTGCTGCTTGTTTGCAGATATTTCTTCTCCGGAGGTGAAATTTAGGATTTTTTTTTTTTTATAATAAAAATGCAGCCAGTGAAGCAGTAACTAGATCAGATTATCTGCAGAATTAAACTCTCTCATTAAGCTGATATTGATGAGTTTGTGCAGTGTGTTGTGTTGTGTGTCGGCTACGTTCACACTGCAGGCACCAAATCAGATTTTGTTTTGGCTCAAATGTGACTCGTCGTTTTTTTGAGTGTGAACAGCACAGATCACATGGACTCTCTGTTCTGATTTGGGCCACTTCAGGGTTGGGCTAATATACTGTTGGTGATTAGCCGAGTCTATTGCCAGTTGTTTCTTTTTTAGGGAATTTTTTGTCATTTTAATCGTCTGCCTCTAAATAAAAAGCAGAGTCAAAGTCCGAAAAAAGAATGAGACAAAAAACTGCAGTTAAGCCAGAATATTTTCACATCTAACTGTAAATTAAGAGTTTATTTTGATCAGTTTGACAACAGAATACAGTAACAAGGATATTTACAGTGGCTCCGACCAAGACTCTGACTCCAGGCCAGGACAGGTGAGGCATAAGGCGACCCTGATACTGATGCTGCTTAAGTGAATTGGAGTTGTAAAGTGTTTTGAGACTAAAATATCTGCAAACTAAGGATATGTTGAGTTTGCCAACTGTTACTGCCTCCACCTGTACTCTCTATTAATCTCCATATATTTAATGCATTTATATTTATTTATTTAATTCCTGCTGTTCATTATTTCCTACATTCAACACCACTTCCATCCCTCGACCCTCAAATCTGAAGCTCTTTCTCAAACTATAACGAGCATTTCAAAAGTGTGGTTTTCAGGTAGGACTAAAATACTTACTGCCTAAAAGGTCGACAAGGTGTCAGCGAGTATGTGCACCGATCCAAAACCAAATAATTGATTAGCCCCAAAATAAGTTAATAATAAAAGTTTAATTCCAGCTGCCGTCCGTTTACAGAAAGTCGGTAGAGGCGGTTGGATGGTCAGAGAACTACTCCCAAGTTTGTCCTTGGGAGGAGACACACACACACTGTACCATCTGCAGTCGAATCCATTCTAGTCCACAGCTTTATTACTCGATTTATTTACTCTGGCTGCTTCAGGTGCTTCTGTGAGACCTGCTCGCCCCCCCAGGTGAGCCCTGGCCGTGGAGGCGATTATGACTCTATCAACTGGCCTTATTAAGTGTCAGCAGCAGCAGGACACTGTGGCCCGCTGCAGTCCTGAGTCACAGGCGGCATGGAGGGAAATCGGACAGAGCGTCCCGTTTCAGGCCGCTCACCGCTCGTTAGCAGGTCGCATGTTCCCTCTGTCCGCTGTCGTGCTGTACAACCATCATGGCTGAAAGGTTGTGTTCACCTTGGCTCTGCCTCACTAATGGGAGTCATTTCAGGCAGTGACAGTAAACACAGTGGCTACAAGATAAGACATGAATGCATTAAAGCAAAGCCAGGGGCTTGTTTACAGGCACTATAACTGAGTACTCGAAAGAAAGAGCGGGATCGAAAAGAGGCATTAAAAGTAGTAATCTTCCTCATCTGCCAGCTCCCTTTGTTCGTTTCCGACATCATTCACATTTAATATTTTCCTGCCTGAGGTTTGTAGCACATTTGGATCTCATTAGCAGCCAGGTGTGGTCTCATCTTGTACTGACAGATGGCTTTCTTTTAATTCCAGACAGATGCTTCCCTTTTTTTAATGACCTCTTTTTTTTTTCTCCCTCATGTCTCGCCGCTGTGAGGTTCATTAGCACAAACAGGGCTTAGTAGAAGTCTTGGGGAGAGATTAGGGTCACAGTATTTTAGGGATGGTAGCCAAGCCCTGACTGAGCCGCTCTGACAGCATGATCATCATGCAGGACAGAGGTGGTGGTCTGTCCCTGTTCATTGGAGAAAAACTCCAAAAGAACATTTCCATAACTGTCCCAGCACTTAGAATTTATCTATTTATTAACTCCATCCATGTCTACTGTGGAGGAATTTGGGAATATTGGGCTACTGTAGAAACATGGTGGTTCAACATGGTGGACTCCATATCAGGTGATTATACACTAATGAAAACACAACTATGAATATTATACTCCATTTCTGCCAATAAGTCCTCCAAAATGTTACACACTGGAGCTTTAATTTAAACACTGATTTAAATAACATCCTTCTTTAAAACCTTTTCTGTCTCAGTGTCTGAATTTGGGTCCTCTGGGGGAAAAAGGGAAAAGAGATTGATGTTTTGTTTTAGTACAACTTTTGTTTGTTAGTTATTATTTTTATGCATTCGTCATAATTTTTGCTGAGGCATGCATGCAGGGGTATTTCCGTTATCCTTACCTCTTCCACCCCACACTGTCTTTCAGAGGCTGTAGTGGGCTCCATAATAAAGCTGATGTGAAAACACTGGTATCAAATGAAACTAGATGACCTGATGCATTGGTACCAACCCTGTCATTGCATATCTGAAATAAGAACAAATAACGCTACAAACTCAGGCAAAATCTTGCCGATGAAAAAGCTGGAATGGCTATTTATATAAGGGATCTCTGACCTAAAGATATCTGAATAAAATGGGTTCTATGGGCACCCACAAGTCTTCCCTTTACAGAAACCCATGCAGTTTTATGCATTTGGTATT